TGAGAAAAAGGGAAGTATACTATCTAGGGTGAAATGCTATATCTTTGTAAAAAAAAAAAAAAGGAATAATTACCAAAATTTGGCTATAACAAACACATTATTGCTAATCTCAGCATAGACAATGGTGGGAGCTCAGAAGTATTTATTGAATAAATGAATGAGTTTAATATTCTGTTTCAAACATCTATATAGAATGAAATTGTGACATTTTTGAAGTAGGCAAACTGAGAACTACCCAGATTTCAGGGCATTTAAGCTTAAATTTTAATATCAGAAAAACAATGGAGAAAATGAATTAAAAATTCATGAGACTCAGAAAGTAGAGGATATGTCTCAAAATTCTTGGGGGTTGGGACCCAGGAGAAAAACATTTAATAGAAATAAAATTACTTTGCACAGCAGCAAACTCTTAACATCACCTGTTATTATTATTATCTTCTTTTTTTAAAAAAAAAACAGATGATCATTTTAATCAAATTGGCAAGCTGATCAAATTGCTTTTGACTGAAATATTTTTTCTAAAGTCTCCTGGAACTCTTCTTCATTGTCACCTGGAGCAGATGTATAGGCCAGGACGGCAGAAAGTATCTTAGTGCCTGGAAATAGCCTGGCTTGAATAGAAAGCAAAGAGTTTTCAGGAGGCCACAGAAATTAGAAGGTGAGTCTTAAAGGGAGGTGGTGGCCAGGTCATGAAAGTCCCTCTTAGGCCTTTTAGAAAGATCTCACTTTTCCTTGAAGGTGATAATTGGGAGTTAAGAACTTAAAGTTCACTGGATGTGGGATTTCTGAGAGCAGAGCCTGCATCCACAGGGCTCAATACACAGCTGGGGTTTTTCTTTTAGTTTTTTGGGGTTTTTTTTTTTTTTTTTTGGCTGTTACTGTTATGAGGTATTTTCCAAAAGCATAAGGGACTCAGTGAATATCCCTTGAAGTCAAGCTTAATATAAAGAAAAAGAATTTTAAGGGGAAAAAAAGTTTGATGACTCAGGGAGGAAGATTAACAATAAGGCTGGGCAATTTAGGGGCTGATTTGTTGATTTTTGCCAGGGAGATCTAAATAATGGAGTAGAAACAGAGGCAGAACAGAATGGAGTTGAGAAACGAATGTAAAGCAAAGAATTGAAGGTCTGGTAAAAAGTGTTTTTTGGAAGCAGCTTGATAGTGGAGGCGCAGAGAAGGTCGCCACCTGGTGTGAATTCAAGGTAATGAGAGAAAAATTAAACCCCAAAAAGCTGATCTGAACTTTGGATTGCTTAGGGAGAAAAATAAAAGCCAGAAAAATTAGGCTCCCACATTATCCTTGTTTGCTCTGCTCTCTTAGTCTCCAAACTCCTTCAATACTTCCAGCTCCACAGATGTTTTTCTGAACTACCTCGAAGAACCTAGTACTGCCCAAATGGACTGGTTGAGCTCTCAAGGCCTCTAGTTCCAAGCAGCAGCATGGTACCCATCTACAGTCAAGACTCATTAAAATGACCTCTCATCATTTCATCTACCCATCAAGTTGTTCCTCATACTTTTTCTTCATTTTGGTTAGGGAGGCATGATCTATTCTGGAATCAAATCAAAAACATGGGTCCTCCCTCCACCTGCACCTCAGCCATCAACTTCCCAAATTAAAAAAAAAAAAAAATTACTTTCACCCACTTTATGTTTCTCTGGCAATCTTTCTTCTTAGAGTTTGACCTCAAATGAATTAGTCTGTTTATGGTTCCACTTCCTCATGTATCTGACCCCTTGTGATTTTAATGCCTGCAGTATTTTTGGCAGCTAGAATTAATTTATCCATTTATTTTATTATTTTATTGGGTGACTTTGGTTAATAGGATCAGATAGGTTTCAAGTGTGTATTTCTATGATACATGATCTGCATATTGCATTGTATGCCCACCACCCATCCAAAGTCAAATCGTCTTTTGTCACCATACATTTGGCTCCCTTTACCCTATACAATGACCCCCCACTAGCCCACCCCAGCTAACTTCTCTGTGGCAACCACTATAATGTTGTCTGGGCCTATGAGTTTCAGTTCTATATTCTACATATGAATGAAATCATATGGTTCTTAGCTTTCTCTGACTTATTTTGCTTAGTATAATATGCTCAAAGTCCATTGATGTTGTCACAAAAGGCAGCATTTCATCTTTTCTTATGGCTGGTCATATTTCATTGTATATAAGTACCACATATTCTTTAGCCGGTCCTCTATCAAAGGACACAGTGATTGTCTTTATATCTTGGTCATGCAGCATGAATAATGCTGCAATGAACATAGAGGTGCATATATCTTCGTGAATAAATGTTTTCAAGTATTTTTGGGTAGATACCCAAAAGACGGATTGCGTGGTCATATGGTAACTCTATTCTTAAATTTTGAATTACTCTTTTCCATAGTGGCTCTACCACTTTACATTCTTATTAGCAGTGAATGAGGGTTTCTTTATCTCCACAATCTCTCTAACTCTTGTTATCACCTGTCTTGTTGATAATAGCAATTGAACAGGTGTCAGGTGATATCTCTGTAATTTTGATCTGCATTTTCCTAAAAGCTAGTGAAGTTGAACATCTTTTCATATATCTGTGGGCCATTTGTATTTTTTGGGGGAGAAGTATTCTTGGACAGGATGCATGTGATAGGCAACTGATCGATATTTCATCTCATATTGGTGTTTCTCTCCCACTCTTACTCCTCTTTCCCCTCTCTCTAAAAATAAATAGTAAAATCTTTATACACATACACACACACATTTTGGGGTGACATTGGTTAATAGGAACACATGGGTGCCAAGCATACATTTCTATGATACAAGGTCTGTATATTTCCCTGTGTCCACCACCCAAAGTCATACCATCTTCCATCACCACACATTAGGCCTCCTCTACCTCCTACCACCCTCTGGCAACCACCACACTGTTTTCTGTGTCCATGACTTTCAGTTTTATATCCCACATATGAGTGAAATCATATGGTTCTTAACTTTCCTTGACTGATTTATTTCACATAGCATAATGTTCTCAAGGTTCATCTATGCTGTCTCAAATGGCAGTATTTTGTCTTTTTTTATGTATGAGTAATATTTCATTTTATCTATCTATCTATCATCTATCTGTCTCACATCTTCTTTATCCAGTCATGTCCATGTTTTGGCCACTGTGGTGTATATATCTTTGTGAATACATACATGTTTTTGAGTGTTTCAGGTAGATACCTAGGAGAGGGATTGCTGGTCATATGGTAACTCTATTCCTAATGTTTTGAGGAAACACAAGTCTTTCATGGTGGCTGAACCAGTCTACATCCCAAAAGTATTTTAAAATGAACTTTTGGTTATAGTAAAAAGAATTTGTTGTCAATTGTATCTAAGACTTGGGGGGAAAAAAGAAAAAGTAGAACTAACCTAAATAAATATCCAATAATAGAGAACTGTTTTACAAAGAGCTTTATTTCTTATATTTTAGAGATACACAGCAGGTCCTCAAATAGTGTCCTTTCATTCAACGTTGTTTCATTATAATGTTAATGAAATGCTATAGAAATTTAATTCCTGTTAATAGCAATTAGTCTGTGGAAAACTGGTTTCCTTATATATCACTTCATTTAAAGTCACAGGTCCTATCGATGATGTTAAATAAGAACTTACTATATAGAGGTATTTTGGAGTGAAACAATATATCGGGGATTCACTTCAGAATAATGATGGTGGTTTGCTGAGATGAGTGGGCTGGGTGGGCAGGTGAAATGAGATTGGCAATGTATTGTTATATATTAGAGTTGAGGAATGGAATCAAGTTCATAATGAACTTTTACTTTCATGCATGTTTAAAAGCTAACAGGATTATAAAGTTAAAAAAAAAACAACAACAAACCATTCCCTCAAATCAAAAAAGCTATTCTGGAGGAATTGTTGAAGTGGCCCTTGGAATTTTTTTTCTTTTAGTTCACAAATGATTCGATATTTGAAGTTCAGAAATAATTTGGAACTTTCCAATTTGGGATATGGACAAGACTTGGGATATGGCTGGGTCTCTGTTCAAGTGAGCTCCATTCTCATCAGTAATGCAGAAGAAGAGCCTACCTTCTCTAATCTGGTTGGAAATAATCCCAAAGTGAATGACAAAGATTAATATTGACAAAGACTGAAGGTTGCTTCAGGGAAAAATTTAACATGAAATTTTCAAATCCAAACGTTGTTAAGAGTGCCTCTTCACTTTGCAAGCAAAGAGACATATTTGGAATCTCTTAGTCTGCAGTGCGGGTAGTAGGGGGTGGGTTGCCCTGTGAGAAGAACTCACAAGCAGTAGTAATATTTAGATATTTCAGCTTGCTGGAGTTTGAAGATTAGATTAACTGCTATATGAGAAACAAATAATTCAGACCATGGGCATAGAAGGATCAAGGTCCAATATCAAGGAGAGTAACTGAGAACAATATTTTGGCACCCATGGGACAAGAATTGAAGTCAAAGTCTGGGGCCAAATGTTTGGAGCCAGGAAATGAAATCAAACAATAGTAAATCAGGCAAAGGTGAGGAGCTCAGAACTATTGTCTTGCATCCTGTGTTCCAAGTTCTCATGTCACTGATTTTCAACCTTATTCATCTCAGTCAATTAGCACACATAAACTAGTTATTAAAATTCTGTGCCACACCAAAAAATACATTTTTTTGATGACTTAACAAAAAAATAGGTATAATTTTAATTCATTCACAACATGCCCCAAAGTCACTGGAAGTTAGAGTTCACTAGGGATTGGCTGCAATAGTGTATGAGCAGCTCAGGGGTCCAAACTGGTTGCTAGAGCAATACTCAGGGAAACCCCAGCTAAGGAAGTGGGGAGATGAAGGGAAGGAAGTTAAGGGAAGTCCATCCAGAAAAGGCAAGTGAGAGTCTCTCCAAGATGGAGAGCAGGAAGCAAAAAATGACCCCTGCAAGTGACAGGCAGCTCCCTGGCCACTGTCCTCACAGGCCGCTGTCGCTTCTGCAACCCCTGACCTGCCCAGAAATGCCAAGAACTCCCAGCACTTTCCCACTATCTGGACAGCAATATTGAGGTGAAGGACGAAGACAAGTTGGTGCAGCAGGTCCTGGCTCTAAATCTGCAGATGCAGGTTGCTTTTGCAATAGTTGTGGCTCGTTGTGCAACTCACTGGTCTTCTCTGGACCTTGTATTCCTGGATATCTGTAAATCCAGACACCAAGGATATGACAATTTACAGAACTGCAGTGTCATGCAAGTGAGATCATAGGTGCTTTGTAAACTCTAAGGTGATATATGTGTAGTGTTAGGAATATCGGTGGCAGGTTTCCAGAGCCCAGGTAGGGGTTGAGTGAGTGAGTCAATGAGAAAGAAAACCGCCCCTTCTTAAAGAGTTCTTAAAGACCAGGGCTAGGTGGCTCAGTTGCAAGGCAGCATAAATAGCCAGTGTCTGCCAAGGAAAGGCTAGTTTGCTTGGAGATCCTGGAACCCTAAAGGGAGCAACGGTGAGTGTCTTTGTCCTTGCTTCTCATGCTGTTTTCCCTATGCCCAGTGAATATCCCCCTGCCCATCAGGAGTGGTCTGTTTTACTGGTGTTGAGGAAGGCAATAGCTGTTCTGGTGTAGGAGGCATAGGTATGGGCATGGGACGGGGACAGAGTAGAGGAATAAGGAATGCTCTCCTGCCCCTCACTCTGTTTCCTTTGCTCAGTGGGAGGTTTGCTTTCTGGGCTGGGGGAGGGTGGGAGAGTGAGATATAACACCCACCCAGATCCCAGATGCCATTTTCTGGAGGCCTCAATTGAAAATGCAGCTCCATGTTCAGTCTTGGCTCCTCTCCATCCCTGATTTCTTCATCAGGGAAGGATGGTGAAGGAGAAACAGACCAGAAGTTCATGGGTCTGGGTTCTAAGGCTATTCTCACACCAATAACCTGTGAGACATAGATAAACATGTTTCTCTTTTAGCCTCAAATCTTTACCTAAGACATGTACTTACTAGACTAGGTCACTAATTACCTATCAATTTTTGGAGGAGTCATTTATTTAAATAAAATTTTAGTCTGAAATCTTGGCATAAATTGAACACTATGTAGGATGAAGGGACTGTGGCTCTGTCCATTCCCTCTATAGGCCCAACTAAGAGGCCTCAGCTAAATCCTAGGTCTAAGACCTATGAGTTAGCTTCCTCCAAAGCTTCCTTCTGCAACAATGGATGGTGGTGCCTTCTGTGCCATTGTGAGCTGTTGGACAGAATTCCTACTTCTTTTCATTCTTCCCCAGACTTGGATGTAGGGCCCCGGAATTGAGGCAGGGGCAGGCCAGGTGACAATGCTCTTGCTCTGGCCTGGGTCCTCTCGTACTCATGGCTGGGGTCCTGCCACGGCAAATGCAGCAAGTCAGCTGCTGCTGGCCTGTGAGCTTGCCTGGGTGTTTCTAGAGAATCCCCAGAGGCCCGAGGAAGTGATGAATTCAAAATGAAAAAGTCCTCATGTAAAATAGGGTCCTTCACAACCCAGAATCACCAGCAGCTAGAGAAGAAAGCACTTCCCTGTCCAGGAAGTCTCTCTCCTGCCACTACCTCCAGCTACCTGGTGACCCTCTTCACCTTTGCACAGGTCCCTCAGGCCTTGTTCCCAGACTCTGCAACTCCCGTGAGTCCATGCTCATACTCTACAGTTCCTATCAGGGAGGAGAGAAGCAGAACACTGGGAGTGAGCAGATCCTGAAGCCACCCTGATCTCACTTAACTCTCAAGTCCCTCTACATGGCAACTGGATGCCCTATTAGATATCTGTTCTTTCCTGCTCTAAAACTACCCTGTCCCTGACTGAGCACATCTCACATGCCCCCCGACCCATCCCTGAGGCCCTTCTTCCAAGGTGTCTCAGGTGAACTGAGCAGGACCCAGGTGTCGCAGGATCTCTCTAACTGCTAATATAGTATCTCTGAGAACTTGGGCCTTGGGTCCCTCTGGAACTTTTTTTATGGAGTTGGGGTCTTCCAGGAATGGCCCAATGACCTGGAGAACGTGCAGTCACATACCCATCTTGTGCTCAGGACAAGAGTCACTAAGAATTCTGACTAAGTGGCTGTGGACTTTGGCTTCTTTTCAGATTTGCACTGCAGACCGCAAGTGTTAGTCCATCCATAGCCACAAGTGACAGGAAACAGATTTGCCTTTTTGGAGCTAAGCCAACCAACTTAATGATACCGTCAGGGAGAAAGAGATTCAAAGAGGGGATAGGTCCTGCTCAAAGGCACTTGATGAATCCTTCCCAATGGGACAGACGGCCTCAGTGAGGAGTTCTACAGCCTAGCCACTGTCCCTGCTGGTGGCAGTAAGCAAGGGAAGTCACTAGAAGGGACAAAATGGGGTACCTGAGAAAAGGTAGCTGCTACTGTGAACTCACATCCAAGTTTCAGCTAGGTAGCCAAGCCCTCCCAGGCCAGACTGTGTGCCCATGTTGTCCTAAACTGCTTTGGGAGTCGTGCTGCTTGTGACCCCACAGAAGGGCAGAAGAGGTAGAAGTTCCTCTCCTGACTTCCAGGAGCTGGGCCAAGAACTCACCCATGTTCTAGAACCAAGAGCATGTCCTTTCTCTTCCTGTCCATCTGCCTAGGCCATGCCTCTCCTCCTCCTCCTCTCCATGCTGATTCTGGTCACTCAGCCTCCGAGGTCTCTGGGAACAGGAATGAAGACCTATTCCCAGAAAACAGTGCCTGGTGCCTGCACCCTGGTCATGTGTAGCCCTGTGGAGAATGGCCTGCCTGGTCGTGATGGACGAGATGGGAGAGAGGGTCCCCGGGGCGAGAAGGGGGATCCAGGTAAAGCTGGGACAGTGGGCTTGTGCTGGTGGGCAGGGGTAGGCATTGGGATCATAACCAACTCAGCAAGCCTGGATGTTCTGCTGTAGAAGCCTTGGGAATGGACACCCACCTCCTTGAGAAGGAGAAGTCCCCTAGACACTGAGTCCACCTAATATACCACTGTGCCATCTGCCAAATGACTGGCTGTTCTGAGCCTCCATGTGTCTCCCCTCAACTCCCATCTAGCCCAATTTCTCCCCTCATATCCTCTGGTTCCTCTCACCCCCAAAATGAGCAAATAGTGGGTAAATGGCCAGACTGCTGGTACATGAAGTTTCACTTCTGGTGGCATTAGGGTATAGGGATACGTCTCATTGGGATACTAGGATGCAAAATTAGTGCTTCAGGAGACATGAGTGCTTGCTGATGAGGGTGTCTCTTTTCCATCTCAGAGTCTCCTGACCTCCATGCTTGTTTGCCAAGGATGGGCAACCTTGAATGTGGCCTTCTATGGGTTGGCTTCTTCCCTTGGCCCATCTACTCATTGCCATGTCAGCCAGGATGAAACCCAAGGGAGGCTTAGCCCGGGGTCAGGACATCTCTGCCCCTGCATAGTGTGCTGTTGAATATGAAATGTGGGGCCCATTCTGGAACCCTCTATGTTCCATTTCATTCCTAGTGAGGACTGTAAGTGAAAGCACATGACCTCTTAAAGTACCAGTCCCCCACCACCAGCACATTCTTGCCCCAGAGAGGCCTGGCTCCTCCTGCCCTGCAAGCAGGGTTTCCAAGCCTGAACTTTCACCTCTCCTCTACAAATCTCTCTGGATCATCCTCACTCTTTAAGTTCAATTTTGTCCTTCAGTAACAGAGCTCTGAGTATACATGTGTGTGCTGGCATAGGGGTACTGTGATAGGATGAGGGGCATCTCACACTTTGTCTTCCACACTCATTTCCTGTGCCTCCCAGTTAGGCATTCTGCTACAAACCCCTTGCAGGACTGGACCTGGTTCTAACGTTCTATCTTGGCCACTGCTAGGCATGAAGTTAAATTCCATAGATAGTTTCTTAGTGAACCAATAAATGGAACAATGAGAAAATGGACAAATATGTGAATGAACATGTTAGTACCACCTGTCAGGTGTTATTTCTTTTATAAAAAGAATTTTATGCTATGTTACACCATCAGCCTTTCTAAGTTTTTTAAATTGAATTAATTGCGGTGACATTGGTTAATAATATTATATAGATTTCGGGTATAGAATTCTATTATACTTCATCTGTATATTGTGCTGTATGTTCACAACTCCAAGTCAACTCTCCTTCCATCACCATGTATCCTCCTTGTACCCTCTTCTACCTTCCCCACATCACAGTATACCCCCTTTCCTCCTGGTATCTTTTTTGTTTTTTTTTCACATGAATATTTATCGCTGCTTAATTCACAACAACCAAAAAGATGGAAACAAACCAGTGCCCATCCACTGATGAAAGGGCAAACAAAATGTTCTATCCATACAAAGTATATTGTTGAGACATACAAAGGAATGAAATATTGAGACATGCTGCAAAGTGGACAAATCTCAAGAAGTCACTCCCAGTTAGTAAAGTCAGACACAAAAGGTCATATATTGTATGTTTCCATTGATATGAAACATCTAGAATAGGTAATAGAGACAGAAAGCAGAATAGTGATTAGTGATAGCCAGGGGCTAGTGTAGGGGCAAGGGAGGTAACGAGTGACTGTTTAATGGCTATGAAGTTTTTTGGGGGGGTCATTAAATGTTTTAGAACTAAACAGGGGCAGTAGTTGCACAACATTGTGAAGGTGCTAAATGCCACTGAACTGTATACTTTATTATTTTTTTTATTCTTTCTTTTTTATCTTTTTGATCTTTATTGTATTTTTTTACATTATCTTTTAGCCACCCTCCCTCCCCCCAACCACTAAAGTGTATACTTTAAAGGGGTTAATTTTACATTAGGTAAATTTCACCTCAATAAAAAAGAATCATCAAACTCATAGAATTGAGTATAGTTTTTAAATATTTATATCCATTTGCTCCCATTAGTCTTTTTTGGGTAAATCTTGTATAATTTCAGGCTTAGGCAGCCTTTCTTGAGGTAACACGTCCTTTTTAAGTGTTTGATTATTTTTCCAACAGAAAAATATGTGGTTACTAAAGATAAAAAAAGAAAATAAAAATTACCTTAATTGTGTCACTTAGAAAAAAACACTTTTGTATAAGCCTTTTTTCCAAAATGTGTATTACATATGCATGTGCCCTACATGTCTGTACTTATGTATTAAACAGAATCATATTGAACATAATTCTTACAACATACATTTATTTCTTAATGATGCATTAGATAATAATTTGGTCTGTTTTTTAAGGGTTCAAGAAGATGTTACATATCTTTTCCTATGTTTTATATTGATGTATAATTGACATATAACATGGTATTAGTTTTAGGTGTACAACATAATGATCCAATATTTGTAAATACACATTGTGACATGATCATCCATTACCACATACAGTTATATTTTTTCTTGTGATGAGAGCTTTTAAGATGTATTCTCTTCACAACTTTTTAATATATGATACAGCACTGTTAAGCATAGTTGCCATTCTGTAAATAACCTTCCTAAGACTTATTTATTCTAAACTGGATTTTTGTATGGTTTCAACACCTTCACGTATTGTGCCCACCCCCCAGATCCTACCTCTCACAACCACCAATAATCTGATCTCTGTATTTATTTTATGAGTTCTGGTGTTTTTTTTTTAGAATCCACATATAAGTGACACCCTACAGTATTTGTCTTTCTCTGCTTGACTTATGTCAATTACTATTCTTCAAGGCCCATTCATATTGTTACAATTGGCAGGATCTTTTCCTTTTATGGCTGAATAATATTCCATTGTGTGTGTGTGTGTGTATGTGTGTGTGTGTATTGCATCGTCTTTATCTATTCATTTACTGTGGACACCTAGCTTGTCTCCATTACTTGGCTACTGTAAAGCTGCAATGAACATGAAAGTATAGATTTTTTTTTTCAAATGAGTGTTTAGTTTCCTTTGGATAAATTCCCAAAGGTTCTATTTTTAATATTTTGAGGAAAGTGCATATGGACTTCATAGTGTCTGTACTAATTTACAATCCCACCTACAGTGCACAAATGTTCCTATTCTCCATATCCTCACCAACAGTTGTTATCTTTTGTCTATTTTATTTTATATTTGGGGAGGAGGTTATGATTTAATTTAAATGTAAGTATAATTGACAAAATTTAAAGTGTACAATGTGATGATTTTACACAGGAATACGTTATGAAAGGACACTCAGCATTTAGTTAATTAACACATCCCTCACTTCACATACTAACTCTCCCTTTTTTTCGTGAGAACATTTTCAAAATTTTTAAAATTATTATTCTGTCACAGTTGTCCCAATTTTTCCCCTTTGCTGTCCTCCACACAGCTCACCCCTGCTCTCACAGTCCCCACACCGTTGTCCATGTCCATAGGTCATTCATACATGTTCTTTGACTAGTACTTTCCCCTCCTTTCCACCATTATCCTCCTCCCTTTGGTCATTGTCAGTCTGTTCCACGTTTCCATGCCTCTGGTTCTATTTTGCTGATTAGTTTATTTTGTTCGTTAGATTCCTCTTAAAGGTGAGATCATAGGGTATTTGTCTTTCACACACCAGCCATCTGAGAGATGCAAATTAAAATGACAATGAGATACCACCCCACACCGGTCACAATGGCCATCATTAATAAATCAACAACAACAAGTGCTGGCAAGGCTGTGGAGGAAAGGGAACCCTACTTCACTGTTGGTGGGAATGCAGACTGGAGCAGCCACTGTGGAAAACAGTATGGAATTTCCTCAAAAAACTAAAAATGGGACTGCCTTTTGGCCCAGCAATTCTATTGCTATAAATATATAAAGGAATCCTGAATCACCAATTCAAAAACCTTAAGCACTCCCATGTTCATAGCAGCACTAACAATAACTAAGTGCCGGAAACAGCCTAAGTGCCCATCAATAAATGAGTGGATAAAAAACTGTGGTGCATTTAAACAATGGAATATTATACAGCAGAAAGAAAGAAGGGACTCCTACCTTTTGTGGCAGCATGGATGGAACTGGAGAATATTATGCTAAGTGAAGAAGAAGTGCTTTGTCTATTTTGTAATAGCCATTCTAACAGGTGTGAGGTGGTATCTCATGGGTTTGGTTTGCATTTCCCTGGTGACTAGTATCAGGTGGTGTCAATTCTGATGTAGAGTTTGGTCTTAGGAAGGAAAAAGTAAGGAGTCCATGATCAAGGGTAAATGCTGACATTTGCTTGCTGCAAATACTGCAGCCTTGGAGCAGGGGAAGATGCACTGCATGGAAAGAAGGACAAGCCTTGACTTGAATCCATCTCCAACTCTAGTGATCCAGTTTCTTCACCTGTAAAATGGGGATGGGGACACCCATTTCCTGGATCACCACTGGACCAAGGAGTGTGGAGGTGGGATGTCTACACCCTGTAGAACCCTGAAGGAATGCCACGGAACTGACTGTGCAGGTGCTGGCTCTTCCTAGGCCTAGGGCCAGGTGCATGCCCATTTCTTTTGCTGCTACAGGTTTACCTGGAGCTGTAGGACAAACGGGGATGCCTGGACCAGTTGGGCCAGTTGGGCCCAGAGGGGACAATGGCTCTGCTGGAGAACCTGGACCAAAAGGAGACTCTGGGCCACCTGGTGAGCAGCTGGGTGTGGAATGCAATGTCTGTAAGTGGTGCTGCTGCCACTAGGTTATGTCGGTAGGCATGCACATATCCCATCCCAGGACGAAGGTTGTTCTGAAGGTGGCTCTGGGTTATTTCAGGAAAAGGCTGAAACTACTGTTGGATTTCATTTGTAAGATGGTGCTTCTCTTCTGCCTTCATTATTGCTCTCATCTTTTTATGCACTCACAATTCCAAGAAGGATGAGTGCACTGACTGGGCTGGTCCTTTTCCCCAGGACCTCCAGGACCTCCAGGTATGCCTGGTCCACCTGGAAGAGAGGGTCCCTCAGGAATGCAGGGGAACATAGGACCTCAAGGCAAACCAGGCCCCAAAGGAGAGATCGGGCCCAAAGGTAGGTGGTTGATATGTGACCAGTCTGGAAAGAAGAAGGGAGGAATGACAGTAGCAGACCATGATGTGACCAAGGCATGGTTAGAGGGCCAGGAAAAGCCCAGACCATCAGGACTGGGTCAGCCTTGTTGTGGTCCCTTTCCCCACATTACAGTACTTTCCTGTTAGCTTCCACAGAGGAGCCCATGCAATAAGGATCACAGTGCCCCCAGTTCTCTCTCTCACTGCAGAGCTGTGGGAGAGATCTCTGCCACTGAGGAAATGATACATGCCACACACACTCTCGGCAGCATTTGTGCCTATTTGTTCTTTCCTCAGGAGAAGTGGGTGCCCCAGGTATGCAAGGCTCTGTGGGGTCAAGAGGCCCTCCAGGTCTTAAAGGAGAGAAAGGTGTGCCTGGTGAGCGTGGAGCCCCTGGAAATGCTGGAGAAGCAGGTGAGTGAAGGAAGAAGATATGGTGGGGCTTCATTCTCCTGTCTCCACCTGAAGCAGCTAATGCTCATCTTTTCACCATCACCCCCTAGGCCATCAGGGCTGGCATTCCTGGGCAGTGGGGAGAGTCGGCATGCCAGGGCGGTGCCTCACTGGGCAGGAGGAACTCTTTGTACCTGGGGAGAGTGCAGTATGAGTCACAAGGATAGTCTGAATATAGGTTGCTGGGTGATGGGGAAGGTCCGTGTACAGACAGGGTGCATGGCTGGGTTCTGAACAGACTGTGAGGAGGGTGTATTCCTGGACAGTAGCACAGACCTTACACTGGGAGGGTGAACATGCTGGGAGATGTGTGCAGAGCTCACCCAACTGTTCTCTGACCTCAGGGCCTGCTGGAGCCATGGGCTCACAGGGACCTCCAGGTGCCAGGGGCCCCCCAGGACTGAAGGGGGACAGAGGTGCTCCTGGGGACAGAGGAGCAAAAGGAGAGAGTGGGCTTCCAGGTAAGGCAGCATCCGCTAGCTCTGGGAACCCCCACTAGCGGGGCAGGGGGAAGGGCGGAGGGCCCTCTTCAGCCCAGAACAGCCCCTCCACTCAGTGGTCAGCCCGTTCCAGGGGTGCGTGAAAAGCACACAAGGCTGACGGGCTGGAAGGCAGGAAAATCGGGCTCTGGTTTTACACTCTACCACTTGGTGGGGGCAAGCCTGAGCTGTTTCTCCATCTGATCATGGGGACAAGCACAGCCCCCTTCCCACTCACCAGACAGCTTTGAGCATCAAATAATCCAGGGGGTGGGAAGTACCTGAGGAACGTGCAACCCTGTCTCCCCAACCCACCTCCCAAAGCAAGCATTTTCAGATTCTGAGAATGTGGAGAGACAGTGCCACCAATGTCAGTGGGGTGCAAGGACCTGCTCAGGGCGCAGTTTGTTCACAACAGCAGCACAGGAAATGTCGTGAGCAGCAGAGCCAATGGTGTCAGCAGATGTGGGCTTCGTGGGGGCCAGTCCCAGCTCCTTACTGCACCCCAACAGTGCCGGCACCTGGGCACCATTCCCTTGGGGCCCAGACTCTGAGCCGATCCCTGGCTGTGCTGGACTAGTCTTCAGCCTCCCTGTGTCTCCTGCAGATGCCACTGCTCTGAGGCGGCAGGTGGAGGCCTTACAGGGACAGGTACAACGCCTTGAGGGTGCCTTCAATCGGTACAGGAAAGGTGAGTCCTTGGACCTGGACGTGACCCTGAGCCAGACACCTGGCCTAGGCCTCAGACTGGGTTTGTCTTTTGGCTTGGAGTCGGCTGGGCTTGAGGCAGGTGTGGGCCTGGGATTGCAGTGGGTCGGGGTGATGGGCTGGACCTGGGCCTGGGGCAGGGAGTGGGGCTAAGGATAAGGGTGGGACAGAGCAGTGCAGCCACAGGTTCCTGGAGCAGGAGGTAGGTGCAAGGGACAAGTAGCAGGATGTGGCCCTTATCACCAGTCCAGTGGGCTGGCAGAAGCATGGTCAAAGCTATCAGGCTCCAGAATGTCCCCAACATCACAGCCAACCGTGACCCGAGTCCCATCAAGGCCCTGAGCCCAGTGTTCAGCAGACCTTCACCCCTGCAGACCCTGTGTTTGTCCCTTTGATGTATAGGGACACCCAACCACCCAGGATGTGTTTCTTATCTCTGTAGGACTGGGTGTGGTAACATCCCCAGATGTCGCTGCCCAGCCCACAGCAGCAGAGATTGCAGACTCTGCTCTGAGAGTTGGGGCTGGGGTGCTGTCCTTGATTCAAGGCTGGTGAGAGCCAGACTTTGGCAAGTGGCCACTGAGAATCTCACCTGAGGCATGCTCTGGGTCTGGCAGGGGGCAGGCTGCCTCTGGGCCCTGAGTGTTCGACGCAGAGATTCTTCCCCAAGCCTGGAATGCTGAGGAGTCTGAGGCCTCCGGGAGCACACATCCGAGTGCCCTGTGCCTGCGCCCTGAATCGCCTCCTCTCTCCTTACTTTGCTCCCCCTCCTCCTCTGCTCTCCCTGATGTCAGCTTTGATTTCAAATCATTCAGCAAATCTCATTGATCCGTAAAAGAAGAGTCCTGAAGGAGGACAGTATAAAGGGTGAGACATAGGGTTGGCCCTAAACAGTAAGCCAACTAAGTACCTACGTACCAAAGATGACAGTTTCAAGCATTTGGTGTTTTCCTCCTTCCACAAACATATTTGCACATGGACTCACTTACTCATATGCACACTTATGCAAACACAGGTAAACTTATGATATGCACCTTCTACACATGTATGTACTTACATACATACTGTCAGTCATTTTACATCTTCTAACTACACAAGCACATGCACTTTTATGCAGGCACACACAAATATTCACACACATCCAGATGGACTTTTTCGGCTCCCATGTACATTCTGATGGAACATGGCCATATTCATGTACACACATGCATACCCATCTGGGCTCATGTACTGACATATGACCTCTTGTGCTGGATTTGCACAGGGCTGCTCTGGGTGCCATTCTAAGCCTGTGGAGAATGGGCACCCTGGGCCCTTGTGTAAGGTGCTCACAGGTAAAGAGCAGTGGGTTCGGGTACAGCCTGGGTTCCTGACAGTCCCATGAGTTTGGCGCACAGCCATCTCAGGAGCGCTGAAGATTTCCACGCATGAACACAGGAGTCAAAGTGAGGGAACAAAATTAGATAATTGAGTGTCACATAGGGGATGCTTTTGTAAAATATGTTTTTGCTTTAGAGACGAGAATTTGGAAATCCTCAAAAAGGAAGTGACTTTCCCTCACCCACCTGGACAGTCATTGCCAAGGTGGGGCTGAACACCTGGCCCTCTGATTCCCACACAGGGCTCTCCAGCTCTGATTCCTTCCCCACCCGCAACTCCCCTGCACACAGATCCGGTGCCTTCGACCCCTCACCCAGACCTCAGGCTTCACACACACGCACACCGTGAGGCCCGCACTGGGCGGCACACAGTGCAGAGGTTAGCACATCGCTGCTCTGAGATGGCCCTCCCTTTCCTCTTCTTTCCTACACCGCACACACAGCACAGGCCTCTGACAATCCCACGTGCTCTGCTGTTACGCGGGTTCAGAGTGAGGTCAGGGTGAGCACCTGCATTGTTTTCCCTGGTCTCAGAGACTACTCCAGACTGCAGGCTGCCATTTCAATGGCCAGAGTAGGTACAGTCCTACCCAGTAATTGGCAAGCCAATTTTGGCATTTAGCGTGGGGTGAAACAGAAAGAGCATGTGTAAGCTTTAGTGTCAGATCAAATAAGGTTTAATTCTTAACTCTACATTTGATGGCTATGTGAGGTTGAGCCTCTTAACTTTTGAGCCCAGGGTTCTCACCTGTAACTAGAGCCACCTCATAGAGCACATTGTCAAGATGGGGCTCCTCCAGTACCAAGTGTCTCACTTTTGTCCTATCTGGTGCCCTGATATCCTGTATGGGAGGCCTGGGGCTTGGTTGGAGCACAAGGGTCCGCTGCGCTTTGGCTGCGTGCTGACAGAACTCAGAATCGTCTGTCCTCTTCTGTAGTGGATCTGTTTCCTGATGGACGAGGTGTTGGAGAGAAGATCTTCAAGATAGGAGGCTTTGAAAAATCGTTTCAAGAAGCACAGCAAGTATGCAGACAGGCCGGCGGGGAGTTGCCCTCCCCGCGCTCTGCAGCTGAGAATGAGGCCTTGCAACAGCTGGTCGCAGCTCAGAACAAGGGGGCTGCGTTCCTGAGCATGACTGACTCCAAGACAGAGGGCAAGTTTACCTACCCCACAGGGGAGACCCTGGTGTATTCCAACTGGGCCCCGGGGGAGCCCAACAATGATGGTGGAGAAGAGGACTGTGTGGAAATCTTCGACAATGGGAAGTGGAATGATAAGTCCTGTGGAGACAAACGCCTTGTGATCTGCGAGTTCTGAGCCACCAAGGGTGGGTGGGGCACTCATGGCCCAGGAGCCTGACCAGTGAGTCAGGGCCCAGACCTGTGTGCTGCCAATGTCCCTGAAATAAGCTGACACCTCTGCTGGCCACGGCTTCTCCTCAGAGCCATGGGATGAGGCCAGAGGTAGGGCTCCCTGGAACGCCTCTCTCAGAATAAAATATGAAACTGGCATCACTCACTGGCTGAACTATCACAGGAGGAATGGGCAACCTGCTTTCCCAATCCCAAGGGATAAAATTCGGTCTCAAAGACCTTTCTTCTGTAAAGTCCAATGGCTCCTGCTCAGCCCTCTGAGTTCTTCAACTGTCAGTCACATGTGACCCATCTGGTTAACATCTGCTCTGTCATTCTTGCTCCTCTTATCTTCTAAGATACCACTCTAGCTTGTTTTTATTCTTATGGCTGTTCTAATCATCCTCTTTTTCCTAGTCCTGGCTCCTCCTCTTGACCTCTTCATGGTGACATGCTAAAGTCTGAACTCCCTGTTCTCTTCTCTCCGTAGCCTCAGTCCAGGGATGAGCTCATTCTGCCCATGGCTCGGATCCCTTCCACTGAGGCCATCCAGATGAGTATCCCCGCTCCAGGCCTGTCCCTTTGCCCCAGACTTCCTTATCCAATGCAAGATGGGGCCCAAGGGCTGGGAGATCTCAGTGACTGCATCTTGCTCTAAAGCCTGAGCCATGGAAGCTGCACAGCACAGTGGGTAGATGTGGCAGATCGTCTGCTCCCTGGACACACTGCATGGCCTTTCATCCCATAGCCTATTCCTAGTCCTTGCTACTTAGGAGCTCTTTCTATCCATGTCAGTATGCTTCCTGTATCATAAAATGGGTTACCATTTGCACAATTTCAGTTCCATCTGAAATCTCAGGCACAGAGGGTGTCCAGCCATGCTCACATTCGTACCAGTCCTCCTCGTGCCTGACCTTTCCAGGAGGTTCTTTCCTGACTTTGTCTCTGAGACAACCTATGCAGATCCTCCTCCTCACTGTACAGATACGGAAACCAAGACACAGAGAGCAGAGGAAATTGCACGGGGCCACAGGTGGTATTAGTAGTGCTACAGCTTCGCCATACAAATAAGGTCATCTGAGCCCAAGCCTTGTACACTCAGCTTGTAATTTTTATTTTATTTTATTTATTTGTTTTTAGAGAGGGGAATAGAGGGACAAAGAGAGTGATAGAAACATGGATATGTGGGTGCATTTTGCGTGCCCCCTGCTGCAGACCTGGCCTGCAACCCAAGCATGTACCTTACACTGGGAATCGAACCAGCAACCCTTTGGTTCACAGAACTACGTACAATCCACTGAGCCACACCAGCCAGGACTGGCTTGTAAATTTTTAGGCCAGAGGTCTCTGTATATAAATTGAGTTTAATGGCACTTGTTCTAGAGGAATTGGAACGATACCTGGATGAACCACAAACTTATAGGAGGGAGCAACAAATACCCCTTCCCCAGACAGGAAAACAACCACTTTCCTTTGCTCCCAGGCACTGGGAAGACTGCCCTTTCTGGCTCCCCCTGATAGGGGAACCCTAAGTCCCACCCCTCTTCCCCACACTCTTGTGGACACATCTAATGTAGAACAGCACACCTGGACACAAAGAGCCACACCTCCCAACAGCACACAGCTCAGGCTCTCTGCTAAGATCTTTTTCCTGCTACTGAAAGAGATCTCCAGCTCCTGGCAGCTTCTGAAATGTATCAGTTACACAACAGTGAGCATAATCTTCAGTACCGGGGCCACACCTCGACACGATCAGCCAGGGAGCCCCGAAAGGCCTTTTTTCCTTGCAAACAAGATGGAAAACAACTGAATATGGTTCAAGCAAAAAGAGGAGGTTTCACTAAAAATGAAGAGTTCTGAAGTGGCTCAAGGACTGGGTTGCACAAGCAACGCTGGGCATTCTCTGCGTCTGCCTCCCTCTGGGCATCCTTGCCCCTGTTCCTCTTTTTCACACCCCCTCTGCTCCTAGTCTCTCAACTGCCCAAACATAGGGAATCTTGTGTCACACAGAGATCAGCAACTGTTGCTTGAAATCAAGTCGACATTCCTGTGGAAATGAAATCTCCCTGTTTCGGATGCCCACCTCTGGTCTAATAAACTAAACCTGGGGAGTGGACGACACAGAATAATATGGTCAGTGGGATGCATGTGTCATGCAGTGTCATGATGGTCTGTGCAGACCCTGTAAAAGTAGCCACTACCCACCCCAGGACTTAAGCCAAACATTTCTTGACAAGAGTGAAAGAATGGCAGAACCATGTGACTCAGTAGGAAGAAAAAAAAATCTGTGGTGTTAAGGACGAGAAAGTTGGATCCCCATGTTCTAGGAGGAAGCTTCCTAGATCGGGTCCGGTTTGTCTCTAGTGCAGAGAACAAGAAAGGAGGGTCATTTGGACTCTATAGTCACAGCCCGACTGAAGCAGAGGACTAAGGCGAGTACTTCAGAAAATTCAGGTCTTAACCCATTCCTGAGCACAGAGACCTCTCCTGCGCTCACACTCATGGGCTGAGGTCAACACAGATCTTAAACACTATTTGACCAAGCCCAACCATAGTAGCCATGGTCTCTAGTTTAGCAGCCTAGGTGCTGAAGATAGGATTTACATCTCAGGAGGTGTTTTGACCTTCTCAATGCCAGGTGACATCATGGGAGCAGATTGGGTTCCTTCCATGCCTGGAAGGTGACAGCAATTTCATAGGGAAGCCACTGTTCTGTTTAATATCCTCAGATCACTTCTTGTGTCTTAACCCTCCTGGCACTAAACCAGCTCACATCTCATAATGAAGTTACATGGGAGCATTCTGATGCTTGCTTTCTTAGGATCCTATCTTTGTTCTGAGCTCCCTTGATATAAAACACTGACAGCTGAGTCACTTAAGTTCTGGGCATCCTCAATCACTCTTCTCTTCTGGGAATCCTTAATTCAAGTTTAATGGTATGCTTGATGTTAAGTTACCAGTTATTTATATGCTAGAGCCAAGAAACCAGGTATCTATTAGGGGGAACAAAATATTAATTTATAAGTCAGAAATTTATCCAGGCAGCAGGTCATAACTTCATAGATGCTAGAGCCCTACACGTCCCTAACATTAGGTATAAGCTATAGAATTGTGTTCTTGTACACAGTTGAGGTGCTCAGCTAGTAGATTTGAAATGAGTGACTGATTATGAAGTCTCGAGCCAGGAAAAAAAGAGGAGAGCCTTCTCTTGGTGCAATCACCAAGCGACTCAGAGACCAAGACCCTCCTTATTATTGTTCAACCTAATTGTGACTCTTAGGCCTGGGGTGGACTTTGCTGGGTTTTTTGGGGTTTTTTTTTTCTTCTTTGTCAATATTTCAAAAAGAGAGACCCTGTGAAAACAGGTTTGTGACCAGTGTCTCTTCTGGGTAGAAGGAGATCAGGTCCAGTGCATAGGTCTCAAATGCCCTCTTTTCCACCGCTGTGCTGAGAGCAGAAGCGTTGGTGGTTATGATGTTACTGTATAACCCAGCATCCTGGAGACCTGAGCCAATGCACGGAAAACACCTGTCCTTGAAAATCACTTGGATGGATCTACCTGGACCTTGAGTTAGATTTGGAGGTGGTTACTTCAGTGTAGGAGCCCCATCTTTATTGGATAAATTTAGAATATGAACATATTTGATTTCCATTTACTAAAGTGATGTAGTCTCTCTCGGACCACCTGACTCAAACAACTTTGAACCGCAGAGGAACTCACAAGGGCCTTCTCTGAGTGAGCCAACAGCACTTTTCGTATTTGTTTAGTATGTAGACAGAGTGAATAAATGCAAGAGTTGAGTGAATGAAATTCTTAATTTCTATTTGTATGCCTGTCTGTAGGGCTAAATAAAGAGTTTTCAAGATGTTTGCAGGCCTTTTGATCTGAGGAAATAGCAGTTTGAACCTGATGTCAGCCTTCCTCCACTTATATGAATTCCCTGAATACTTCATATCACATGTAAGTAGCTGGGCCAGCCTAGAAGAGAAAGGTCAGATGACAATTTCAGGCCAAGCAAATACATTCTGCGACCAGAAAGCAGGATCAGGGCTGGAAGGGGAGGACACAGCCAGTGTGAGTGCAGGCAAGCCCAGCACTCCTGACCATGGCTACGGAGGGCCTGGGAGGATAGGAAGAGGGTGAGCGGGATGTGACGACTCCAAAGACTCAGTTCCAAAACAGAGAGGGGCTGGGAAGACTGTTTCAGGAGGTCTTCTGAAAGCATAAACATCCCAGAATAGTCAGAAAAATAATTAAATAACATAATGGGAACGGACTCGTTCATCTTATGTTAAACAACTTTAGAAAACTAACATAATTGCAACAGTGTGTTACTGACACAGGAATGGATAGAACAATGTAAAAGCCACCAAAAGTAGGCCCATTATGTATACATATATACATCATATATGCATGATAAAAATAGACTAACCCTCACAATCACCACACTTAGGGGAGGAGATACAAGTGGGCTAATTGGAAATGGAAAAAAATACAATAAAGATAAAATTAAAAAAATAGCTCTGGCTGGTATGGCTCAGTGGATTGAGCACTGGCCTGTGAATCAAAGGGTCATTGGTTCAATTCTTAGTCAGGGCACATGCCTGGGTTGTGGGCCAGGTCCCCAGTAGGAAGTGCATGAAAGGCAACCACACATTGATGTTTCTCTCCCTCTCTTTCTCTTCCTTTACCCTGTCTAAAAATAAATAAATAAAATCTTTAAAAAAAATAGATTACCAAAATTATGAGGAAATAATTGTTCAATTACTGTTAAATGGTTAAGCATTTACAGGAAAAATAAACCAGACTCTTTTAGTTATATGTAGACAATTAAAAATCAGAAAAAAATATAGGTAGTAATTTATGTAGTCTTGGATAGGAGAACCATCTAATAATGATATAGAGTAAAAACAAATGCAAAACAAAAATGTTTCATTTGACTACACAAAAATATTGTAAATTTTCTCTTTGTAAAAGGAAAACAACAAGGAGTAAAATAAAATGCTGATTTATTTCAAAGTACATAGCAGATAAATCTTAAGAAAATGATGAATATATAAGTAGCAATGAGAGGAGAAATGTATAAGAATGAAAAATTCATAAGATAAGAAATACTAAAGACCAATAGTGATGAAACATAAGAAATGTATA